CTGTTTGAGATGATGGAAAAGTTCTGGAAATTGATAGTGGTGAGAGCTGCACAACTCTGTGAATATACTTCGAGACACTAAAAAATGGCTAACATGGTAAAATTTATATGATGTATATTTTACCACAATTTATAAATTTAAATTTTATAATTATATGCAAATTATACTTCAGTAAAGTTGACTGACGAATCTGATGAATACCCACTGCTAAAGTGCTAACTAAAGGGCATCATTTTTAAAAAATATATATTTTATTGATTTTTTACAGAGAGGAAGGGAGAGAGATAGAGAGTTAGAAACATCGATGAGAGAGAAACATCGATCAGCTGCCTCCTGCACACCTCCTACTGGGGATGTGACCACAACCAAGGTACATGCCCTTGACCGGAATCGAACCTGGGACCCTTGAGTAAGCAGGCCGACACTCTATCCACTGAGCCAAACCGGTTACGGCTAAAGGGCATCTTTATACACACTTAAGGGTGATAATGTTGAGACGATCTTCCTAAAGAGCATTTTAGACTGTTTAATGGACAAAAGCTTCTGTTTGAGATGATGGAAAAGTTCTGGAAATTGATAGTGGTGAGAGTTGCACAACTCTGTGAATATACTTCGAGACACTAAAAAATGGCTAAAATGGTAAAATTTATATGATGTTTATTTTACCACAATTTATAAATTTAAATTTTATAATTATATGCAAATTATACTCAGTAAAGTTGATTGACGAATCTGATAAATACCCACTGCTAACGTGCTAACTAAAGGGCATCTTTATACACACTGACGGGGAATAATGTTGAGACGATCTTCCTCAAGAGCATTTTATCAATTTTAACAAAAATATTTTATTGCCTTTTAGCCACTCGTTCTAATGGTACAAATGTGCCCTAAGAGGTCAAAGAAAACAGATTTAAACACAAAAATGTTCACTATTGCATTGTTTGTCATTTTCACTATCCCAAAACAGAGAAGAGTGTAAATGAATTGTCAGGCGTCCGTAGCATATTAAGAAAGAGGCATATCTTTAAAAAATATCTGAGACAAATAACTAATGACATTAAAATACATGTTACAATGGGAGAGACACTTATAAAGGTGTATGATGTTATTCTATTTTGTTTTCCCATATGTGAACAAAGCCAAGAAATAAACAAACCTACTTCAACAGTGATCTCTCGGCTAAATTACGGACCTTTATCAAATGCTACCAGGGTGACAGGGCCTGGGTCAGAGAAGGCCTCACTGGAGGAAGTGGTATTTGAATG